AGATATAGTTCTATTTGTATATTGTCTGTATTAAACATTTATAAATAAACTTCTGACTGGTTGACCATCATGGCTGCCAAAAGTTAAAAAAATAAAATAAAATAAAATAAAATATAATATAAATATTAATTTAAAAGTTTATTTAATATACTTTTCTGTCAAGATACTTAATTATCTTATTTGTATTAAAGCTTGATATAGCAATTTTTTTATATAAAATAATTAATAAATTTAATGTTTTATAATCTCTTGAATAAATAATATAATCTGTAATTTTTATAATTTCATCATAAGAATTATTATTGTAGTGTTTTTTTAAATTTTTTTTAAAATTATTCAAAACATGCCAGGTGTATAAGAGATTTTTAAATTGTAAAAAAACTTTAGTTTTTTATTTACTTGCTAATTTTTTTTTCTTTTTAGGTTTCATTCTAAGGACACCAAATAGTGCAGAATCATTATTTGTAACAAATATAAATAGAAAATTGTCAAAAAAAATAAGAGCCAAGATTTTCAATTATTCAAATATATAACTTCTTAGATTTATCTAAGATCTAAGCTCTAGTGATTCTAAAAATTTGTAATTAATTATCACAAGATTACTTATACCAATAAAATTTACAAATGATAACTTATAAATATTTGTTTTATAAATTGCATCAACTAAAATAACTTCTGAAAAGCATCTAGTTATTTTAATTAAATTTTCATGACAGAAAAAAGATGTTTGATATACCTGTTTATATTGATTAAATATTATATAAGAATTTTTAATAAAAATAAAAATAAAATAAAACAATTATTATAAATTACTTAAGATTAGTATTAAAAATTAGAATAGAATTAGAAGCTATAGACTAAAAATTAAAACTAAAAGCAAAGTTGAAGTAAAATATTTTGGGATGCTAAATATTTTTACTTGACACAGTTTTTGAGATATAGTAACTGTGATATTAAATACTACTAGTATGATTTAATAATATTAGAATAAAAGGAGATGTGGCAACCTAATGAAGTGAATAAGTTGTCAACCCCCAAGTGGCAAGTTTAGAGTTCAAATTCCAGTAATAGTAACAATTTGCAATTCTTTCTGTGTTATAATTAACTGTTTTCTATGATTGGTTGAGATAAGACATCTGTAACCTATGTCATACCAGCATAACTGAAAAATCTAGGCATTCATGCAACATTGTACAAAGAAACACAAACTGGTACTGGGTGGTGTGAACCTAAGATAAGTTCTTAGGTCATATAAATCACAGGAATCAGGTAAGAAGACAGAAGCTTACTTGAAAAATCCAAGTAGAAAGATAGTCTGAACCTTTAACAGTGCTACTATAAAAACTAGACCTAAGAAACAGAGCTAGAACTTGTAAAACTAGGCGAAGAGTTGGCTTTTGAGAAGGGGCCAAATAAAACCAACTAGGATATAAATCAGAGATGTATAATTATGATCTGCCTTTCTGAACTATCTGGTTTAAAAGCTTGGTGGAACTTGAATTGAATACTAAAGTAGTAAAAATATGTTGTGAAGTTAGTACTGGAGTTGAGATGAACTCTACAAGGGCATAGCAGTTTAATAATATACTTTAACTGCCAGTGTTAGTCTTGGCTATAGTAATATCAGATCAGCTGTAAGAATAAAATACAGAAGATTCTGAAAGGTTTAGTACAAGGTCAAAAGTTCCTTATATGAGTGAACTGCTTTAAAGACTTAGTAGCTATGACATATTTTCACTAGCATTAGCTAGAGTTGTTAGTAGGCAAAGATAGGTAGATGAATACAGAAACTAGAGTAGTTAAATAGAAAATCTACAGGCAGGTTTCAGATATGGCAACTAGTATAGAACTTTCAGACAGATTACTTAAATTAGACAATAACTAAAGTTGTACAAGTGGCTAGTTGTATACACTTTCTATGATTGCTTTTTGTAGTTGTAATGTAATTATTAGTCAAATATATTATTAATAAAATTCTGGATTGCAAGTACTCACCTTAATATTTAAAATAAAATAAAATAAAATAAAATAAAAATATCAGAATAAAAAATATTTACATTTTTGATCTTTATGATAAACACTATATTCTCTTTTTTTTATACTTATTATTAATGTTTCTATTGAGGAATTTTTCTTAGAAATATGAATCTGTAAACTTAAATTTAAGATATCTCTTTTTGTTGCAGTTGACTGACTATTTTTATTTCTAATAGTTTTGTAAATTATATTAGGGTTTGCACTAGCTTTAGCATTTGCACAGCTGTATGTTTAGCTTTTTATATTAATTAATGATGTTTATAAAAAAATTCTTGGATCTTTAGCCTTAAGATGATTATGCTTATTTATTACTTTAATAACTTTTTACTTAGAGTCTTTTAGAACAGCCTTCAATAAATATAAGCATTTACAATATTTGCTTATCTTTTTTTTTGATATGTATTTACTATTAAATTTGAGGTATTTCAGAGTTGATCATCATATTTATATTGAAGATGAAAGTGACAATAACTACTACTTTTAAAACTTATAATAAATTCAAAAAGCTGAGCTATTTCTTAAACAACATCTAAAATATCTTTTTTGGTTATATAAATTTGTTTAAGCATTTTACAAACTAATAGAAAAAATTAGTAATAAAATAATTAATATAAACTACTAGTATATATTTTATAATTATTTATATTTGATTTCAAATATTTCTTTATTTTTTTTGTTAGATTTGGTTTTATTCTCATTATTAGATTCAGTCTTATTAACTTCTTTATTAGACTCAATTTCATCTTTCTTATTAAATTTGATTTGGTTATCTTTGTTAGATCTGAACTTGTTCAAACTTTCAAGACTGTTCATTTTATAACAATAAAATGTTTAGTACTAATATTCTAGATAAATATGAATAACTTAGATAGTTTATATATAATAAGTTTTTTATTTTTATTGATTTATTCAATATTTTTTTTATTTAAACCTTTTATTATACAAGCAGTACAATTATTAATAAACTTATTAATAAACTTTTAATTACATATTTATTTGTAAAGCTTATACATTAATTTATTACTTTGTTTATTAATTTTTATTCTTTGATCTTTTTAATTTTCAAAAAACAATATTAATATTTTTTGATATAATTACATATATGCATATTACTATAAATTATATTTGATTGGTTATTAAAGCAATGAAAAATAGAGCACTTATATCAATCATTTGCTATGCTAATAAAGACAATAAGTCACATGCATGCTGTATCAGTATATTTTTTTATTAAAATTTAATTAGATTAATTTTTAATATATCACAAAATTTATATAATAATCTTAAATTATCAATATTAGTTTCAACCTTTAGGCCTAATCTATATTAAATTAGACTTTAATATTTTATACTAAGTTGTTTATGTTGCTCTAAATTTAAATTTTAAATCTACTTCAACTTGCATTAGCAGAATAAGTTTGCGAAATATTGCAAAAGATTTTGCATACCAAAAATTTTTGAAATAACTGTGATTAATGCAAAATTATTTCAAAATAAAATAATTTCGCAATATTGCGTAAGAAATGAAATAATTTCGAAAGTATTTTGGCTAATTTACAAAATTTTAAAAAATAATAAAACTAAAAAAAATGAAAAAATAATTCAAATAATATTAGAAATATTTAGAAAAATTCGAAATATTTTGAAAATATTGAAATTATTTTAAAATATTTCAAAATATTCAAAAGAATTTCAAAATAATTAAAAATTTTCAAAATAATTTCAAAATTTTTTGAAAAATACAAAATAATTTTAATTAATAAATTTATTTTATTTTATTTAAAATTTTACTATTTACATATTTTAATATATTTAATTGATTTTTTTATTTAAAAATTAACCAAGCAAATTTAATTATTTTTAATACGCATTAACTTTATTTATTATATATCAAATACAAATAAAAATATAAGAAAAAATAAAAAAAAATATCTATATAAAAATTTAAAATTTGTAAAAAATTTCAATGTAATTCAAATAGTTTCGAATATCTATAAAATAACTTAAAATGTATTAGTAAATAAAACAAAAAAACAAAAAAGTTTTATTTAAATAAAAATTCCTGAATTCTGATTCTCTCAAATTTAGCTAAAAAAAAGAAAGATTATTAGAAAATATTAAAAACAAATAAAAACATTTTACAAATCTTCTTTAGTATCTTGATTTTCATTGGATAAATCTAAATTTAATATAAAAAATATTTGTAAATAACTTTAAATTGTAACGAAAAATTGCGAAGATATTTAAAAATAAGCAAAAATATGTAAATAAAATTAAAAATTTTAAGAATTATAGAAATAATCTTAAAATAGTGCAAAATATA